ACTTTTAAAATTCAGTACTAATAAAGAAATTAAATTACCTGTTATTAAGTAATTCAAACAGCATGAGGCTCAAAAGCAGCCTTCCAGATCAATTGTTTTCTCTTTTGGGTATTCAATTGTACTTATATCAATGAAGCACCAGTATCCAAAGCACTGCCAAAAGTCACAGGATTGATCTTCAATTTATTATTACTTCAAGTTTCCTTTGACTCTTGAAATAGTTTATGGGAAAGTTTCAACAGGTAACCACACAACCCCAATGACACTAAATGGATGAGGTCTTAAGCAATCCTAATAGCAGAAAAAAAATTAAGGTCAGGGTCTTCATTAAAAACCAAAAAAGCATAGAGACTCCTTCATATCTTCAAATAAAGCAGCAGTCACTAATTGAATAGCAAAGCTTCAGACTTGATTTTGGATTTTGAAAAAATAAAAATCTAAATGTATAGACTAATGTAATCCAAACAACACACCCACTTACTGGCAGCTTTCCTTCAGCTACAAGAAATTAGACCCTTTATGGGAACTCTCCTAACTCTGAGTCAGACCAGCCACCAGAAATTAATGTTTCTGATTCTGTTAAATACATTAAGTTTGTAGCAAACTAGCTTTCAATCAGAGATGGTCAGGCAAAAGGCATCATTACAGAATGAATGGAAAGGGAAAATTAGTGCAATATTGTTTAAGTCTGCACATAATTGTAAGCAATGGATTCTAAATGTTCCTTTTGTTCCAAAGGGAATGGGAACAAATAATTCAATAAGTCATTTAAAAATATATACAAACCCAAAGATTGTCAGAAACTTTTGCTGAAGTAGATCTTGTCACTGTCATATTTTCTGAAAAATCTCTTTGCCCAGGATTCTTCTCCTGGGAAGCTAAGAAGCCTCTGAGAAAAATGAAAACAATAATTATCTGATTGCTTCTCCTGTGTTTTGCTACTTTGGAATGTGGTTGGACATTGTTTATCCAAGAGGTGGTTGTTTGGTTGGTTTCATGTGAATTGTTTTGACTTAATGACCAATCATGGTCAGGCTGTGTTGAGACTCTGGAGAGTTACAAGTTTTTCATTAGTATCTTTTAAACGTCCTGTAAGTATCCTTTCTCTATTCTTTAGTACAGTTTTAGTATAGTATTCTTTAATATACTATAATACCATAAAATAATAAATTAGCCTTCTAAGAACATGGAATCAGATTCATCATTTCATCCTTCCTGCCACGGGGAACCCTGAAAATACCACAAGATGTGATATATGTTGTGATAGGTTTCAGATACTCAAACAATCACCATTAAAGTTACTGGCAAAAATCAGGTTTTAATATCAATTTGTGTAAACCTTAACACAGATTCATGACAAGGCTCACTCTGCTATTTACCACATAGATGAGGCATACGTATGAAAAATGGCTTAGAATCAGCTTAGAATTATTTATACAAGGACCAGGGTTGCAGAAGAGTAAGGGTGCAAAGGATCTAGAGAGGGTTTAGCAATACTTAAGTTCAGTACCAATGGGATCATTCAGCTCAGCCTACAGTTCAGGTAAATGATTTTTCCAATGCTAAAGAGAATAGCTGCTTATCCTTTTTTTCCCACCTTGGCTGGGAAGAGGATGCTCCAGTTACCACCTTTATTGTGCAGGAGCTCCTGGCATGGTCAGGGATGCTTCACCACCACAGTGCAAAACTCTTAATGTGTCTCTGAATGCAGTTTCTAGGAAAACTGGCTGAGAAAAAGAGAAAAGTGCAACCTGATAGGAGAAGCATCAGCAAGTAAAGCATCCTGCTGCAGAGTTGATTAGAAAGAAAATTCTTATTATGTAATCTAAAATTAATTACTGTAATTTTAACACTATTTACTAGACTTAAAAGCTTTTACTGCACTAGTTTTAAGTAGTTTATTGCATTATATTTTTAATTACATGTTTCTGTTGAACTTCTTAACCTCTATGGAAACTATTAAGCCAAGCCAAGTGAAAGAAAATGTTGACACTGGACCTTGTACATTTGTCATGGCACAGTATGTACCAAAGTGGTCATTCTGAAGACAAAAGAATAAGGACTCAGCTCATTCAGGAATCAAAGGAAATCATGGGTAATTTCAATGTTAAATTAACACATAAAATCAGTAAATTATTTGTATACAGTGGTGATAACATGCCCATGAAAAGAAATTTCAGTAAAGTCAAAAAGAATGAGCAGAAATCTGACCATATGAAGAAAATGGAGATTAAAAACTGCTGCATCAGGACATCTATTTCTTTGACCATAAATCAAGAAATGGAGTGTACTGCTCTGAAACTGGAATTTGCATAATCTTGGGTATCAACATTAATCTAATTTTCAAATGCATGGAATTGAAAGAAGTTTGTTCTTGCAACTGGAAATATTCAGGAAAAGAATTTTCCACCCATAAACACAACCTGGCTTTCCTTTTTTATGCTTCCTCCCCTTTTTCACCTGTTTTTGGCATTTTTCTATTTTTTTGATGGCTTCTATTTTTATTCCTGCAAAACACATTAAAGAGTAGTCATTATGCCTCTGTATAAAATAGAAAGAATTCCTTAAACTGTAAATTCATTGCAAAATTCATTGTTCTCTTAACTAGTTTTCATCTCTCTTTTTTATAAGATTATTATAAGATATATTATGTGGTAGTGTGTTGTTAAGTTTCTTGTGTTATTCCCCCAATTTATGTATTGTTCTCCCCTATTATGTGTAAAATGGTTTCGTTCCCCCAGTTTTTCCCGCCACTGCTAGCCTGTCAGCTAAGTTGCTATAGTAACTGCTATTCATAGTTGCCGATATGTAATT